AAGAAAAGGACAACAATACGCTGCGTTGAAGCGTATAGTTTTGTCTCGCTCGCTCGATTGATGTTTATATACAGACGTGTGCGTGGCGAGAGTTGCTTATGTAGTTGTGTCCGATCATATTTTATTTGATGCTAGTATGAGCGTACCGTATCTACCCGTTTTGTTTTAATCTAAGTATTCGCCAACTTTTTTTTCATTTGCAGTGTGTTACACACGGAACACAAAAGGAGGTTAGGAGGGTGGTCCAAGATCGTTTGTACGGGAACCGTTGTCGCCGACTCGCTCGCACTACACTTCCACCTAATAGATAATAGCCAATAAAACGACGCAACATAAAACAATCGGACCAATCAGCGCTCACACCCGAGAGCAACGATGCAACCAGAACCAAGGTTTGGTCAAGTTATGAGCATTTGCTCACACATAACTATGGCGCGCCTGCCCCGCCCACAAGGCAATTCTAACCTCTTTCTGTGTTCTATGTGTCAACAACAACAACAACTCTTGCTAAGTAACGGAACTAGATTATCTTACATTGGACATTGATAATAGGCTATTTGACCCTTTTTGGAAAAAGGTTTTAAATGGTTAATAAATGTTCTGTTAGACCGAAAAAAAATGTATTGTATTTTTTTGAGACCTAGAAAGCTACAAATCTTTAATTTTAAAATAGACTTTTCATGGACATACAATAACGCTGTCGGCCATTTTAGTCTATAGATTATCTATGCTATGACGTCAAATGTAGTAAACAAAAACTCGTAAGCACGTAGAAAATAACTTATCTGAGTTTATAATAAAAAAAAACATGATTTCTAAAAAATACCACGAAAAATAAAGTAATTATCATTATTGTATTGTACGAGAATATAAAAACACACCCTTGAAGACTCCAGGAAAGTTGTGGATTAAAGTGCCGAAAGAAATTAACCTACGCAACTTTATTACACGTATTAATATGTTGTATCAGTTTTATGTTTATTACTACATTGTATCGTTTCTCTGCTCCGCAGAGCAGAAATCGGGGTTTAGTGCAAAAAATTCACCAACCATCAATGCGTCAATTCTTGGCAGATTTGTGCTTTCTGCTTTCACAAAGCCGGCATCCATAACTAGTTTTGTCAAAAAAAATCAGTAAAGGGAAACTTTTCTACAATTAAAAGTGTTTTAAGATAAATTTAGTCAGAGGAAAGAATCCACCCACAATAACACGCGAATGACATTTAGTTGTTTACTACAAGAGACGTCGTTACAATCATGGCGGATGTGGCGAACAGCGTTTTTAATGTGTTTAAAAAATATAGACTATTTTTTTTTAAATTAAATATCTATCTTCTGCTTTTATGAAGTGAAATCGATATACAGGGTGGCCGGGGAGTTGACATTAAAGCGTAATATTTAGATACCTTATGATGAGGAGTATCCAAATCACCCCCATTTTCTACGATTTTGCGTAGTTTTCGAGTTATAATATTTTAATGACTTTTTTCGTAATTTTCACCTAACATCAGTTTTCGATTTTTTTCTCATTCTGTTGGACGTTTCTGGTTCAGTTTTTTTGTGATAATTAAAACAACTTATGGTTTATCTAGGCATTGCAGAATTCACTTAGAATTTGTTCGAAAGTTCAAATTTACGATTTGAGCTCAGTACACACAAATTTTCATAGTATCAAAAAAAAAAATGTAAATGGGGGGATTTGGAGTTCAAAGTGCTTTTAGAAACTTTCTGAGACATTAAACTTTAAAACAAGGCCAAATAAAGATAGGGTTAAGGGGAGTTTATTTTCTGTAACTGACCTTTAAAGTAAATTAAGGCATTTTCAAAGGAAAAAAAATAATTATTTTATTTTATTTTAATCTTTGACTTTCTATGAGTTATGATGGATGTGAGTAAAACGCAGTTAATTGTTAACAAAATACATTTATTTAAAGCAAATATTCAAAATTTTGCCCTCCCACAGAAATACACAATCTACATCTGCGCAAAAAATATGTTTTAGGTGCCTAAAAGCTTCACGGTTATTTTTCACAGTGGTTTCAGCTTCGCGAATTTTTGCTCTCAGTTCTTCTTCACTCGAAACTTCTCTGGCGTACGCAATTTATTTAAAGTAGCCCCAGATAAAAAATCAATAGGGTTGAGGTTTACTACTACTCGTCTTGTTCTGTCGTTTTTTCTCGACCACTATTTGCCTACTGATGCCGCCGCTGCTTACTTGTTTGACTCCTGCTTGTTACTGGATTCCGTTGTGCCTAAGGATTTGGATTGTAGTTACTTGGAAATGTTAGTGATGCCCTACACTCTGAGTGAATATGCAAACGCATTATTTCTACGGCGTTGTATAAGGCAACGGTCGTGAAGTAGCAAGACTCTACAGGGATCAACTTCAATGCCGAGGCGGAGCGCAACCTGATCATTACCCTGGCTATCGTGTGTGGATATTAATACTCACAATACGTTAATGGCAGGCCGCATTCCTGGTCAACGTGGCGGTGAAGGCATTCAGACGGTTGATCAGGAACGCAGGGAAATCGTACTGGAAGAAGTGCAACGCAATTGTAGTACAAGTACGAGAGCATTAGCTCGTAACCTTGACATACCAAGATCTTCAATACAGGATATTTTGCGTGCGGAATCATTTCACGCCTACCACATACAAAAAGTACAAGCGTTGCAGCCTTCAAATTATCAATTGAGATTCGAGTTCTGTAGGACTATGTTGCAGAAAGAGGAAAAAGATCCCGGATACTTTAATAAAATCTTGTGGACCGACGAGTCAAGATTTGAGCGAACTGGGGTTTTCAATATCCACAATTTTCACATTTGGGCCGTTGAAAATCCACATGCCGCCAGACCATCATCATTTCAACATCGTTTTAACGTGAACACGTGGTCTGGTGTTTTGAATGGCGAATTAATAGGCCCATTTGAACTGCCATCGAGGTGTGTCGGCGACACATACAAAAGTTTTTTAAAAGACAATCTACTCATATTACTGGAAGATTTAAATCTTGAATTAAGAAGAACGATGGTGTTCCAGAACAACGGGGTACCATGTCATTACGCGATACAAGTGCGTCGTCATTTAGACCAGACCTACCCCAACAGGTGGATCGGACGACGAGGGCCAATTGCCTGGCCACGCTCGCCTGACCTCAATTTGATTTTTTTATCTGGGACTACTTTAAAGAAATTGCGTATGCCAGAGAAGTTTCGAGTGAAGAAGAATTGAGAGCAAAAATTCGCGAAGCTGAAACCACTGTGAAAAATAACCGTGAAGCTTTTAGGCACCTAAAACATAATTTTTTGCGCAGATGTAGATTGTGTATTTCTGTGGGTGGGCAAAATTTTGAAAATTTGCTTTAAATAAATGTATTTTGTTAACAATTAACTGCATTTTACTCAAATCCATCATAACTCATAAAAAGTCAAAGATTTAAATAAAATAAAATATTTATTTTTGTCTTTTGAAAATGCCTTAATTTACTTTGAAGGTCAGTTACAGAAAATAAACCCCCCTTAACCCTATCTTTATTTAGTCTTGTTTTAAAGTTTAATGTCTCAGAAAGTTTCTAAAAGCACTTTGAACTCCAAATCCCCCCATTTACATTTTTTTGAAACTTTGAAAATTTGTGTGTACTGAGCTCTAATCGTAATTTTGAACTTTCGAACAAATTCTAAGTGAATTCTGCAATGCCTAGATAAACCATAAGTTTTAGGGCGCTAGGTTAGACTATGTTAGTCAATTATCACAAAAAAACTGAACCAGAAACGTCCAACAGAATGAGAAAAAAATCGAAAACTGATGTTAGGTGAAAATTACGAAAAAAATCATTAAAAATATTATAACTCGAAAACTACGCAAAATCGTAGAACATACATGGGGGTGATTTGGATACTCCTCATCATAAGGTATCTAAATTTTACGCTTGAACGTCAACTCCCCGGCCACCCTGTATTTAGGTTCCTTAGACCAAATACTTTAAGAAATAAACATTTATTTAATACAATTCGACATGAGTCAACTAGCCTATTGAAACTTGTCGTAAACAGGGTTTAGGGGAAGATACGGTACGCTCATACTCGCATCAAATAAAATATGATCCGACTCAACTACATAAGCAACTCTCACACACGCACCCGTCTGAAAATAAATATTCAATCGAGCGAGCGAGACTGAACTGTACGCTTCAACTTCCTTTTCTTGATAACAAAATGGCGATTACGTAAATAACATTCACGACAAACCGTGATTTTTGAGAACAGTGGCGGCGCTAGGCGTCGGCGATGTCGGCCACCGCCGACGGCCTCGCGCCTGAGGGGGCCTCGCAAAAAATTTTTACAAGTTACCTATTTATTTTCGTTTCTCCTGGCCTGGCTTAGGTAGTCGAACCCGAACAATTCGGGGAAAAAGCTAAGCAGATGATAATGACTTTTATTATTTTCGAACACGTGCGTGATGGAAGCGAGTAGTACTTTACGGGTATTCAGAATCGTCTGTCTGGCAACACTACTTTTGTAATTCAATTTATATTTTTTAATTTTTTTTTGTCATCATTTGATTATTATCAGCAATAAAACTCGTTTACTCATACGTTATTTTATAATTTGGCTCACTTAATTTAACGGTTTTTTTACTGCGAAGTAAAATAGGCCTCGCGAACTTGATGTCGCCGACGTCCACATGTGGTCTAGAGCCGCCACTATTTGAGAAAATATGATTTTACAGTTTAACGAATGAATAGTGTTGCCGAGGCATTTGATTTTGACTACTACTTCTTTATAAAAGCATCAAAGGCATTGTTTTATCTTTATAACACAGAATATACGTAATATTGTTATATTGAGTGCACATGCAGCGTGTTTGAATGTCCAATTGTGACTAAAGCGAATTGTGGTCATACACCATAATTTAAGCGGATCACTTGAGCCGCGAGTGCCGTATCTTTCCTTTTTGTTTAAATCTAAGGAGATAACTAAATAAAAAGTTAAGGACTAACCTCAAGGAGTTTCCTTCTCTCCGGAAGGTAGCCACCGATGGCCACGGGGTCGGGGAGATCGTCCACTCGGTCCGAGAAGGTCACCTCAGCTAACACTGTTTTCGATGGCTAAATCATATCAAATATGTTTTTATTCATCATCATCATCAGCCTATTAATGTCCCCACTGTTGGGGCACAGACCTTCCCTATGGATGGAATAGGGAGATTGGGCCATGAACCACCACGCGGGCCGAGTGCGGATTGGTGGGTGCTAAAGGCAGATGCAGCCGGGACCAACGGCTTAACGTGCCTTCTGAAGCACGGAGGAGCTCGAGATAGTAATTTTTGGTCACCCATCCAATGACCGATCACTGCGAAAGTTGCTTAAGTTCAACGATAGCAGCCGAACGCGCTAACGACTTGCGCCATCGAGCTGTTTTTATTCATTGGGAGTTAACGGGAAATTTTATGTCGGTCACCAAGATTAAAGATGACAAGTAAGGTTCTTACATTTTGACTGAAATAACGTTTTTAATCAGATAGATTCCTAAAGGTAAAGAAATAGGAAAAGTCAAGTTAAGTAGATATTTTACTTATATTTTTATTTTTTAAGCATTTAACTGCTAGTTGTTCAAATCTAAAGTAAATTTTACTAGAAAAAAATCCACGCGGTCCAAGCAGCACACGGGACTCGAACCAGCACCCTTTGCTATCCGGGCGAATGCACTGACCATTATGCTACCGTGACCCTGATGGCCGTATTGAATTTTCTCTAGTATTTCTTAGGCTGCAAGGCAGCGCCATCTCTGCGCATTGTAAGAACACACAATATGAAATGTGTATAGTTCTAAAGGTATTCTTTAGAACTATTAAACATTTGAAAGAAGAAATAGCAATTACAGTTATATTTTAGAGTTATAGTTTGCTAGATGTTTGAATCTAAAAGGGAAGGGAGAGGGGCAAAGGCTGCGGTTTCGAATCCCGTCTGCTGCCTGGTTTGTGTGGATTTTTTCTGGTAAAATTTTCTTTAGATTTAGATAGATTACTTACTTAAATGTATATATATATATACTTCTTATCTTGCCGTCAAATACAACTAATTGAAAATACCACGCGTTTAAACTTCCCGTGCAAAGTGGCTATTTTAAACAGTTTTTTTAGACACTTTATACTATTTATTAACGAAGATTTTTTTTATACTGTGTAAATGAAGATGTAAATTACTATACTTCGACTTTTTATTAGCTGCAGTAAAATGATGTTTCATAATGTCATTCCGTAAAATAATGTTGACAGCCTAATTTCAATAGGGATGTGATTAGGTTCACAGAAAATCTAATCGTTACATAACTCCTAATGATCATACTTAATTCTATTTATTATTCATATAAATAAAAGGCTGTATAAAATCTCAAGTTGGTACTGGTTTTTAGTTACGGTGCCACGATGAGGCTTGTCCGCCATTTTATTTCATTTGTCATTCGCTCATTCGGCTTCTAACTTCTGTTTTGAGTGCACGAATAACTTTGCTTTGCCCACTGAGAGTTGTTTTAGTTATCATTATTTTTTATTTTTTTTTTATATTTCCAACACTCACACCAATTAGCCTAGCCCCAAAGTAAGCACTATAAGGCTTGTGTTATGGGATACTAGGGTAACGGATAGAATACATATATTGTACATATATAAGTATATTTATATAGAAATACATATTAAACATCCATGACTGGAGTATAAATGCTCGTATTCATCACACAAACATCTGCCCCCACCAGGATTCGAACCCGGAAGGAGCCTCTCGAGTCGGTGACACCATGGAACCCGGTGTACTTGACCACGGAGATCGTCAAATTATATATTGTTAAATTTTTGTTACGTTGTGTTTGTTTTTCGTTACCTACTTACTTTTGTTAATCGTGTCAGCTTTTATTTGTTTATTACATCGAAGACATGGATGCTCAGTTGAGCACATCATAAGATGGAGATACATTTTTATCTCCTAAGAAAAAAGGCCACGTGTAGCTCTAAGTGCAACTGAGAAACTTTGTATCGGAAACGTTTACAAATATGTGTTAGAAGTGAAATCTACAGAATCAAACATTGAAGTTCCAAAAACAAGTGAATGCGTTAACAAGGTGGCTGAAGTCTTGGGAATATTGTTTATTTTAAAGGAGCACAAGGAGAACGACTGTGAATCACCAAAGCCTCCCGAAAAACCTGGCCAAAAACTTACATTTAAAGAAAAACTTGATGATTTCACATTCACCGCTATTAGACCAATTGTACATCAGTTCTTTCATAGAAATGAAGTACCCACCATCTCAAAGGTTAATTTACCTGTCATCACTAATCTTTTTATTATACGTTAGGTATAATATGTTTTCTCCCACCCCATGTGGAATTTTAACCAATTAGATGTGGCTGACCACTAAAAATATTACATTTGAACCAAATATGGTGAAGGCCACTCTCATAGATATTGTGAAACAACAAAACCATACTGAAAAATATGCCGTGGACGAGATTGCTGCACAAAAAGGTATCAGACTTTTAAGACCGCCCCCTTATCACTGTGAATTGACTGTGTGTCTCACACTATAAAAGAGGAAGACAAAATGTGCCACCTCGATCATATTATAGACGAAGTGACAGACAGATTTGTCATTAGTGTGACCGAAAGCGACAGCGATAGTGATTCCGAAAATGATTGATTAATAAATAACATGGTTATGACTTTTTGTTTATTGTTCAATTCAATTCAATTCAATTCAATTCTTTATTGTCTCCATGGTTTAAAAGGTCTTAAAATATAAATACATTAGGTACAAACATGGAACCCCGTTGGGGCACTACAATATAATACAATAATTTACTTTAAAATAAATTAAAATCAAATAATATTATTAACATGTCAACGTGGCTTAATTACAATTACAATTTAATAATAGGCGCTCATTAAAATAAAATGTCAATAAAGTATTTTACAATGTCAATATTATAATAATGTCATTTTGTTACTTTAAAAACTCTTCCAAACTATAAAATGCTTTACCTATTAAATAATCTTTTAAAGCTCTTAGAAATGATTTATCATCAACCTCCGATTTCAAGTGTTGTGGAATTTTATTATATATTTTAATGCACATGACAAATGTACTACTGCTAAACATTTCTAATCTACTGGCTGGTAAGTGGAGGTTATCTTTAAAACGTATGTTTAGTGTATTTCCCCGCATTTGTTCGTTAGTCTTAAAATAGCTTGGGTTTTGTTTTACAAATTTACAGAGTTCGAAAATATATAAACTTGTTAAGGTTAGAATTTTAAGCTCTTTAAAGTGTGGTCTGCAGCTTTCAGTTTGTTCAATGTTGACTAGTATTCTTATGCATTTCTTTTGTATCACGAACAAACCTTGGACAGCTGTGCTATTCCCCCATAATATCACACCGTAATGTAGCCAAGAATACGCATAGGCGTAATATGCTGTAAGAGCGGTTTGTAAGTCTGTGCTACGTTTTATTTCAGACAAGGCGTATATAAAGCGTGACAATTTATTTTTTATTTTTCCAATGTGGGCCTTCCATGTAATGTTGGTATCTATTTCTAAGCCGAGCAGTGTGAAATTATGGACACATTCAATAATTGTTTGGCCCACGGAGAATTTAATTTCTATTTATTCTTTTGTCTTGGTCTGAACTGCATTAACTTGGTTTTTTTTAAATTTATTTCCAAATTATGATCGCTTAACCATTCCATGATCTTTTCGAATATTTGGGAGAGCTTAGTATTCAATGAGGAAAGTGGAGCGCATGGAAATAATACAGACACATCATCAGCAAAGGCTACACAATGATTCTGTATCACTTTTGGCAAATCGTTCACAATCACCAGGAAAAGAACACAGCCCAGTACGGTGCCTTGTGGTATGGAGTTTGGCATTTCACATTTCTCTGATCTGCAGTTTGTAATACCTCCCGTTATTGGATCATACTTGTCAACCTCCACACACTGTTGCCGACCACTCAAGTACGATGCAAACCAATTGTGGGCGATTCCTCTCACACCAATGCCATAAAGTTTCGAAAGTAGGATTTTGAATGATACTCGTTCGTATGCTTTGCTTAGATCGAGCAAAATACCGATTGCATATTGTTTATTATTTATAATTTCAAGTGCTTTCTGTATATAATGATACACAGCCATGGTAGTTGATCTTTTCTTCCTAAATCCAAACTGACTCTCATCGAATATTTTAAACTTCTCACAGAAACTGTTCAACCTTCGACACATAGCAGTTTCTATTATTTTAGATGAGGTACATAACTGTGCAATAGGGCGATAATTATTTATGTCGGTTTTGTCTCCTTTTTTGTGAATTGGCTTAATTACTGCAATTTTAAGTTTATCAGGAAAAGATCCTTCTTGAAATGATTGATTAATTAAAAGTGTGAATGGTAGTGTCAGTTCGTCAACGCACTCTCTAATTAGTATTGGAGGCAATTCATCAATACCAAAACTACGCTTATTTTTTAAGTTTCTTATTATAAGTCTTACTTCTGGACAATCAACGGGCCATAAAAATAACGAGCTGTCGGTCGGATTTAGGACAGGTCTGCCTTGTGTAAGATTAGCTCCAGTCACTTTACCTACTGATGAGAAAAAGTCATTAAAATTATTTGCTATTTTGAGTGCATCGTCACAGATAGTATTATTAATTTTAAGTTTGATATTTTGTAGATGTCTATTAGGCTGCTTGTTTGTTCTTTCCTTTATGATCGTCCACATTGTTTTCGTTTTATTTGTAGTTTTTTTTATTCGGCTTACATATTGTAGTTTTTTAGAAGTCATGACTACTTTTTTTAATATTTTTTCATAAATTTTATAGTGAGATTTAAGTATGGGGTTAGCAGTTTGTGATAAAAGTAATTTTAAATGACGCTTATATCTACACGAACGTTTTATTCCACTGGTAAGCCAGCCTTTAAAGGATCTTCCTTTTATTTTTATTTGTTTCCTAGGTATAACTCTATCTAATATACTTTTTAACGTTGTATGAAAAGAATTGTAATTTTGATTCATGTTATGGCTCTCTTTTATTACCTCATTCCACTTAATATGTTTTAGTTCCGATTTAAAATTATATATATTTTGCTTGCTAAAGATCCTTTTATAGGTCCACCATGTATTTAAAGATTTTGTTGAGGTCTCATTTAAAGATATAAGGACAGATTTGTGATCAGAAAATCCATTCTCTTGGACTGACACGATCACTTGTTTATGTCGGAAATTAGTGAAAACCAAGTCGAGACAAGTAGAACTATTTTTAGTAACACGTGTTGGTTCCTTGTTTATTTGATCAAAATTGTATGAAAGCATTAGTTCCAGAAGAGTTTTTGATTTAGTCCCTTTTGTTAAAACATCAAAATTAAAGTCTCCTACAATAATAATGTCGTTAGTATTATATTTAGTCTTTAGCAAATCCATTAGTATTTCCAAGCGATTGAAAAATATATTAGGCTCTCTATTGCTATTTGGCCAATATATAACTACTAGAAGTAAATTTTCCAAGCTTGTGATTTTAACAGCGCATATTTCAAATACATATTCTATAGACATACTTGTAATATCCCTCTGTTCGCTAAATTCTATGGCGTCTCTTAACATTATACACACACTTCCCCCTTTATAATTTTTACGACAAAAATATGAGGCTAATTTGAAACCATTTATTTGCAAAATGTCCAAATTTTCGGCTCTTAGCCAAGTTTCTGTTATACACAAAGCACCAATATGTGGTTTATTATCTAAGTATGCGTCCATCAAATGTTGTTTATGCCTTAAGCTCTGTATATTCTGACTTAAAACTATAAATTTCTTAGAGAAAAAACGTTTTGTCCGATTTAACCAGGCTCGTTACATTTTCCGGAGGAACTATTTTTATGTAATTTAACATATCATTTATAATACATTTAAGACCACTCTTGTTAAGTTTGCCAGTATATGATGAAAACATGTCAAAATTCAAATTACAGTGTTTCATTTTGGATGTACGTCCCTATACTTCCAATTAAAAAAAAAACAATCCTTTACTATTGTAATAATAATAGAATGAAAAATCATGTCAACTTAATATTAAATCTTTTAAACAAAACCAAACTGATCATTCATTTATTGAATGATTCACTTACTCACTTAGCTACATCCCTATTTATTTTTCTTCAAAAAGCGGTAACCCACAAAACGTCATTTTACTGCAGCTAATAAAAAGTTCTACTTTAAACAAAATTATAAAAAAAACATGCATATTCCCTATTAGGTATTTATTTAAAAATATACGAGTAGATTGATTCCCATTCTCACCACAGGAGTAGGAGGCCGATCCTTGATGCTCTTCAGCTCGGTTTCAGCGTAGTCCTCGGCGGCTATGTTGGTGACGTCACCGAAGAGGATCACCGACCCCTTCTTGCCGCCGAGCGCTTCTTCCAACGCTAACGTCAGCTGGGTCGACCAACGGGAAGCTTTCCCGCTGAAAGTGTCACGAATGTCAACTAGTTATATGCAGTACCTTTCCATTCATCATCATCATCAGCCTAATAATATCCTCACGCCCAGGCCGTCCCTGAATGGAATAGGGAGATTGGGCCGTGACCCGCCACGCGGGTCCAGTGCTTTTTAGTGGGTGCTAATAGCCGGGACTAACCGTGCCTTCCGAAGTGCGTGGGGATTTTACAGAATAGCACTGCTGATCATAGATCATAAACTGTATGAGTGCCGGTTTTTATCTAAATCCGTTCAGCCATTTTTGCGTGATTGAATAACAAATAGTAAAAATTAGTTTTATGAGAATATCACAGGAGTCTTATATAATTAATATATAAATATTATGTATTTTTATAATAGTAACTATTGTTTTTGTTTTGTAAGTAATTTGTAACTAATCGTTATCCACGGGAACTCTGAATAGTTTGGCAGATATTTTCATGTATAAACAATGTGTGTACTTAGAAAATCAATAAAAAAAAGCGCGCGGAGGAGCTCGAGTTTATATGTTTTTGGTCACCCATCCAATGACCGACCATTGCGAAAATTGCTTAACTTCCACTATCGTAGGCCGAACGCACTAACCATCTGTGCCATCGTACTCATCCCAATCCCACCTCCACATTTCCGTCAAGGCTACTATATCATCATCATCAGTATCATCGACCCATGTTCGTCCACTGCTGGACATAGGTCTCCCCTAATGCACGCCACTGCTCCCGATTTTCTGCCACTCTCGTCCAGCCCACTTCAGCCAGCCTACGAATGTCATCATCTCATCTTGTCTCAGGGCGTCCCATACTACGTTTACCGAGTCGCGGTCTCCACTCAAGAACTTTACGGCTCCATCGGCCGTCAGTTCTGCGGCTAATGTGACCAGCCCAGTTTGTTAATTCGGCTACTATATAATAGACTTAATTGTAATATCAGGTTCGGCTCATTATCGGTTACAGTTATAAATTATGTTTCTAATCGTCCGGTGTTTCGAATTAGTATCACTGCCTGTCATAATACAGGTGTTAACTAGCATAAATATTTTTTAGATATATATAACTCTTCGATGACGACTTGCAAACATTCCTTGCTAATTGCTAACGAAAAATAGTTTTCCGAAAGCTTTGGCTGCAATTTAACTGAACGCTTCATCTAACGCCAACGTCAGCTGGTTGGACCAACGAGGAAAGCTGAAAGTATCCGCTTTTCAACGTCAACTAGCTACATAAACAAATGTATTATAGGTGCCTCTAATGGAAATGTCAGGCCCATTATAACGCGTCAATGACAGCTTGCGAAATTCCTAGCTAATTGATAAAAAAGGTTACTGAAAGCTCGATATAGCAAACAAATATCCATAAAATAAACGTAAACGAAACATAAAGACCTGTGGAGCAATGCGTCCGATAGTTTGGATTTTGAGAATCTCAAAAGGTGTTTTTTTATTATAAAGTGAAAGTATCGTACGTATAATATATGTGTGTAGCAGATTTTATTCAATCCTTTTAGTATTTTTTGCGTGAATGGGTATCGAACATACAATTTTCTCATTGACAATGTTAGAAAGGTATGAGTTGTTGAAATGTCCGTAGTAGAGAAGAATCTGACATTTAACGCATATCATTTTTTTATAACAATACAACAATAACGAATATAATTAATTAAAAAAAACACCAAAAAGAAAGTCAGAACAACTTCATTAAAGTCATTACAGTAAGTAGTAATTTATCAGTACTTCAGTAGTAGGTACTAGATTAACAAATGATTGCGCCGTAAACGACAATGACTGTTTAGAGCTGGTTTTTGACTTTTCAGTTCGTTTTTTGGCCGGCAAGTGAAGAAAAACACTTGAAAAAAAATCACTGAAAATGGCCCAAATTTTCATAGCACACTCATACTAAGATTACGATTTTAAATACGGGAATTCCAACTAAATCTTACAAATGAAGTAAGAAGTTGGCATGTAAAAAAAAAAATTTTGCTACTATCGTGAATTTTGAAGGTAAATGGTGTATTTAAACGGCATAATATGAATTTTGCCAGAAATCACTTTGTAATTTTGTTATTTTCTCGGATTTTAGTGATTTAGCCTTGGGAAATCTTAATCCTTTCATTATTTTAGCAATTATTACCTAAAATTGTAACCTTAGTCTAAGTGAATAGTAAATTAGATACAAAATTGCTTCAAGACGCTTTTGAAGTACGCCTGAAAACTAAAGTTTTAGCTAAAGAGAATAATAAATCAAAATTTAAATATCTTTTCATAGTCTATATAACTAATAGACCTGAAACTTTAAGAACTTTTTTGTTTTCAAATTGAATGCTATGGCCAGCTATATCGCCGAAGTTTAATTAATTAATTTATTACAGTTTGTTGTTTTCTATATTGTTATTTTTATTTGCAGACGTCTGTAACTGGAATTTCAAGCATTGTCTATAAGTATAGAGTCATCAAGATAATTGTTATAAACATAAATTGTATTACAAATTTGTAAGTTTGGCATAGTTTTCTTGTATTTGAAGAGCTTACGCGATGATGATGATGCGCTTGCCATTCACTCCATCTTGAATAAAATCTATGATTTATTCATATGGGAAGCCCTGATACTTCCGCCTTTTTAAGAAAGCTGCTAATCACAATATATTTGACTTATAAGTTTTGTAAGTTCGTTTTAATTACAAACAACAATAAAACATTTGCTATTGCTACGGTAGCATAAGTTAGTTTTTTTCTATAGAAAGAAACACGGCCATTTTTCCTGCCAAATACGGAAAACAAGTCGTTAGCAGCAGTTTGCCAACTCGACACCATGCTATTGTTAATTTGGCCTTTTCTTCAGAAAAGTCCGCAGAAATGGGCGCTTTATCAGGGTCAAAATACTTTCTAACTTTTTTTTCTTTTGTGTTAAATGAATAATTTCCGTTATTGGAAATAAATATTTACGTATTTCTACAGAATAAACCGTGGTCATTAATGGCCAACTCATATTGTAATTTTTGCTGATTGATGATAATCTGGCCATAGCTTAAGATTCAGGAAGCAGTTTGGCTTCGTCATTCCGTTTTAAGTTATTTCGTGGATCATTTGTTAAACGTTTTTTATCGTAACGCAAAATACGAAGAAATATTTAATGTTTCTGGAGCGCATTAATATCTACTTATTGATTTTTGTTGTTGTTTCAGTTATTAGCCTTCTTCCTGGAGGTTCTTCTTCTTATTCTTTTTCATAACCGGCGTGGTGTATTTGTTTTCTTGTGCATATGTTACAAATATTATAAATGTGAAAGTTTGATATTTATTTCATTCATTTATATTTGTTACTCAATCACGCAAAACGGCTGAATGGATTTGCATGAAATTTCACACACAAAGGACAAAGTCGCGACTGGCCGCTAGTTATATAATATTATCTGACCTGGGAGTTTAATTTCAATTGCATTCAATACGCGAATAAAAAAGTTTTGTCGCGCCATAATTTAATGTAAATATATGTCTATATTTAAGTGAATATACCTAACCAACTGATTATGGTCAAGTCACATGTTTATATTTGTTTTTTATGATGTGAAAATGTTTATTTATTACTGAATAGCTAGCAGCTGAAAAACAAAATTAAAACAATTATTATTTTACTCCAGATGGTGCACAGCTAACGTTGTGCCATCATCATCAGCAGTATCTTTGTTATAATCATACATACTCACTGCTTCTGCGGCGGTGTGGGTCCGAAGTTTTGGAAGAACACGAGAGCAGTATCATGACTGTATCGTGGTCGACTACAATACCTTTATACTTAGCTGTTAATATTGTACATCACGTATTGAAATGGTCATCAAAAATATTAATTTATTTCCAAAAATACAATCGGTAACGTAACCTAACCATTAAGTTATCAATTATATTTTGAAGCGAAAACTTCTTTAGTGATTTGAGATTCGATGAAACGGAAGTAGAGTATTTGACATAAGACAGGTATCCGTAATTTTAACATTTACTATAAGAGACAGATAGCCGAACGGTAACAGTCTTGGGGTCGATACCAACTAATCAGTGGTTCGATCGTGAGCACGGTTGCAATTTTTTTTATATTAATTTTTCATAAATAAATATTTCGAGAAAACCCTGAGATAAGAAAAACATAACAAAAGAAATAAAATAAAAATAGCTGGTAACAAATAAATCTTTTACATGTTCACATTTTATTAAGTTTTTAATTGTTACGCAAATAAAACTATGATCTTTTTACTTTAAATTTTAAGGAACATGTGAATATATCACACTTTAAGATTAAATAATGAGATAAAAGTGTTTTCTACAAAATTGGGGTCATTTCGGTTGAAACGTCCATGACGTCACCTTTTTTCGCAGAGCGCCTACTTCACACTGATGTGAAAATATCTAAAGTTCAGAGAGCACTGCATTTTTGTTTATAATGCCATCTATATATTTTGCCAAAACTAAAGGGACCACAAGCAGCGATAAGTATGCTTTCTAAAGCGTGCTGCGTCTTCGGACGTTTGACTGGAAAATCTTTTATGACACTCCAGTGTCATAGAACGTTTGGGAGGGTATAAAGTTTGAGAAAAGGCATCAGAACAGCCGTGGTGTTTTGTATACGTGTACGTATTATACGATTGTAGAGTTTTTTAATATCGATCACAAAAGCAAGGCAGTATTTTTGTAATCAATCAACCCCGCAATCTCGCAGGGTACCGGGTTCGATCACCGGTCGGGTGAACTTATAAAATTAACCTTATTTTCTTTGGATCTAGCTGATTATTTTATCGTAGTTTTTTCTGATTCCTTAATACAAAAGCTTCAATTAACTAATTTTGAATAGTAATATTATGTATATGATGTTGTACAATATTTATTTAATGGATATCGTCTGATATGTTTATTACAGTTTATTTCTTGCTCGTTAATCGCTACATAGCTTTTATCTAATCGTTGTAAAATATGTTAATAATTTGTTTTTTAATTCGTTTTAGGGTTGCCATCTATCGAGAAACTTAAATTAAATAGTATATTAAAGTTTCATTCAAAGTGATTCTTTAAACATAACGCATATTTTAATTTTTTCTTCTTTGAAACTATTATTAATTTGTTGAAACAATTTAAGTAGTATTAAATATTTAATTTAGATCTAAGGAGTTGAATTTTAACACGGGTGTTGTCTTTGAGACGTACTTAGTCATGAAGGACTATTACCTGTTCACATTTTTGTTTCGATTTTATCGCATGTGAACAGCACCATATCTAATACTCACCGCTTCTGCGACTTCGTGGGTCTGAAGTTTCGGAAGAACACGTGAGCGGCCTGCGCGCGCACCGCACGCTCCAGATGATGCAATAACGAGTTGACGCGACGACGTGCGAATTCGATCACAGCCGATTCCAATATCTTTGAACAATGACATGTCCTTTGTGAATGAAATTTTACTAACTTCAAATTGACTCATTAAAAGCTCTTTTAAATCGTCCATTATTTTTCCTAGCACCCATTCAGGACATCTTTTAGCTGATGAGAAGAATGGGCGCAACTAGGGACACGAAAAAAGTATCGATACTTTGTGGTATCGAGTACTTTTCCTTTCGATACCGATACTTTTGTACTCGATACTTTGTATTCGATACTTTTACTTATTGAGTACTTTTTGGCAAGTAAGTATCGATACATTTAAAATTTGGACAAGCGCCTCATATTGTTATGATATATTCAAGTTCTTTCCAATCTGTGACTGTGTTTATTTTGCGCTTTGTTTTGTTTCATAGTTATTTATTTAGCGACCATATTGTTAGGAATTGTGATTGATGATTCGCCGTTTATTGTGCTTTTCGCTTGACTGCATTTGATGTATTCAAGTGTAACACTATTATTCTGTCTGTGCTGTGTATACCTATTTGAAACCACGGACCTGAAAAAAAGACGGACGTAACCTCTTCTATAATTATAATATTGAGTGAAGCATGCCAATGGCCGCCGTTAACTGCGTGTCAGATTCAAGTAACATTTTAATTATTAATGTGATATTAATGAACACTTTTTAAGTGTCAGAAATCACAGCTATTTTCTTTTCATTATATAATATAGCAATTTGTGAATTTATATGTCCTTTTACTGTTATTATACGTACTATAATAAAATTGGATTGTTTTTCTTTCAATTTTTAACCCGGGGGGGGGGGGGGGGGGTTGCTCATCGGGCCACAGAGGATCCGATAAGGCCCTATGAAATGTACTCGATACTTTGAAGTATCGATACTTTTGTTTCGATACTTTTACGAGTACGATACTTTTTTACCGATACTACTCATGAGTACAGTATCGATACTTTCTATTCGATATCGTGTCCCTAGGCGCAACAAGTTCATTTAACAGAAGTAACATTTACAAAAAGAATATTTCGCTACCAATACAACGTCCACTCACTTTTTGATTGCTGTGTCATACAGTATAAATAAAAAGAGTATCTTATTACTAGAATTATATGAATTGCCAATCGATTCATTACCTACCCAATGCAAGTAATTGATAGAGGTCGGCATTCCATACCAATAGACGTTGTAATAACATAGTGATTTGTAAATGTTGTTACATTATTCTTTTAATATCGTAGAGTATTTTTGGCTTCGTTATTCTTCGCAGCTAAAAAATTGGTCCAATAAAGAGTGGTAGGGAAAATCATTTTTTGGACGATTCAAAAGACTATGTTACATCCTATTTGAATAAAGTTATATTGATTTCATTTCATTTAATACCTTGTTTGAAATCCCGGTAGGGACGTTTATTTAAGAGAAACTTCTTTTTTATTATTACATCACAATTTTTTTCATTCATCTTTAGCAGGTTGAATTTATACTACATTTTTACTTGTTATATTCAGATCCTATCAACAAGCTTCGGTGGTTCAGTGGTATAAAGTTCGCCTGTTACGCGGGCGGCTCGGATTCGATTCCCAGCCGAGGAAGGTCTTTTTTATTAATGGGTTAAAGTATCACTTGCGTCATGGTTTCGGAAAACCACTCCATTTTTTTTTTATAATGACCACAAACAGAAACGCATAGACAGAACGGGTTGCAATACCACACTCATAGACTAATATTGACCACACTCACACTGTACACAATATTGATTTATTATTCACACAGACTACAAAGTTCGTCCACAATCAAAACAAAGACGTTTCACGGTTAATCTCAACCGATTGTGAATAATAACGACTGCTTAGACATTTATCTATCCGTCTTAATTTCAAGTATTTATTGTTCGGTCGATTGTTCTCACAGTACCTATTCAAATGAGTATGCGATTTACAATTCAATAGAGTAATCATTAAGCTGAATGCTTCACACAAAAGCAGAGGGTTAAAGGTTAGCGTTGTAGCAACGCTTCAGAAAGTGTTTTCATGTGTCTTCATAAAATTAAATGATACAGTAAAATGTACAGTACCTATCTATGTGTCATTAAATTATCTCCTTATTATGTATCAACTGTTTGAACTTGGAATAATGACTATGTTGTTGATTTGGGAGACCAGCTTAATTAATGAGTTCTTATGGCAGCGTATCCTCAAGAAATGTGTATGGATGGGTAGCGATTGATGTGTTTATAAAAAAACGAAATAAAGCTTCATTTGTGTTGCCTCGGTCAGCTGTGCTGACCAGTATGATCTCGAAAACAGTTCAGCGGAGCGAAGTTTTGGTATATACCAAATAAGCGAGGGATGTGTGCGAGAGATGTGTGCTAAAGATGGCGGCGAGCGAGAAACTGCAATCGAAAAGAGCTCACTACACATCTTAAAACCACGCGCATCTTTTCACAGCTTTATTTCACATCTTCGCACCACTCACCTCTGGTGAAAACATCCATTTCGTTTCACAGCTTCACTACACGACTTCGTTCCGCTCATCTTCCTAGCACATCTCTGGTGAAAACGCTGCCTTACTCTCAAAAAAAAAAAATGTTCGATAGGTACAGTTATATGTGAAGCAATTTTGTGTCATGTGCAGGGGAAAACCGGCAGAGTTGCTCAGGTGGGAGAATTGACCCATTAAATTTAGCGCAAACAAAACGTCAATTCGTTCATAGGTCACATGCGAGACTGTTTTGTTGTGCTTGGCGTCTCAGTGACCAAGGAGCGAATTGACGTTTTTTGAAAGATGTTTTTTTCTAAAATCGTTATCATCATAATCAGCCGATGAACGTCCACATCGACCTCATTTAGGGATTTCACCTAAATAATTATGTACTACTAAATAAGAAGGTTTACTTACTTCATCGAGCAGTTTAATGGGAGCCGTGGGCAGGATTGTCTCCATATCCATCCTCGCCCGAGCTTGTCCGAGCGTCATGAGAGCGTCCCCTTGGGTGGAAACAGCGGACGACATCGCCTCAGTCGCGAGCCGTTGAGCCAACTCAATACTCATGCCTTTGGCGCCGCGTTTGGACTAGGAAAAAACATAGTTCAATTAGCAGTCGCAAAGGGCGTTACCATGCGGTCGGGGGGAAGGGGGGGTCCAGTTGGAGGCAGCTCGCAGCCAATCTTTAACTGCGAATCGGTCTTCCCACAAATAGTTTACATTGACTGTTCAAAAATTCAAACCACTTTGATTAATGAACCGTTTTTAGCAAATCCAGGATTGAAAATTCAATCTACGATTGGAGTTTTCGCATTGAGATTGAATATTAGGACCGGCCATAAGTTTTAGCTGTTGATTTAAATTAAAAAAAACCTTCAGTAACCTTTATAGATTTACTTATTTCAAATTGACTATTTTTGATATTATAAACGATACTGATTCAAGTAAAGCCATTATATTCTTATACCAATTACCTACGTAAAAATGAAATTAAGCATGTTTAGCGTTAACACAGGCCTGGTAATGAGGTCCTGCGAGAAATTTTAGAAGGCAAAAATCTCAAGGATTCGCTAACGAAGGTGTGAAGTGCACTCAGGGCTCCCTACCCGTATGACTTAAGCTAAGGCTCTGTACTTTGGAAACGCGTGTATAAGAAATGTTCTGTTAAATATATTATGTTTATAAAAATCTTACAAAATGGCACATTTTTTGTAGGAAATTCTTGTCATGACCACAGTAAATCTTGAACTAGCCTAGCGGAGTAGGAAAAACATACTAATTGGACTCTTCAAAAGAGTTGCTCCATTAACTTGAGAACGAGATTACCGATTTGATATGCCTTATTTTTTCCTTTTTTTTTCTAAAGAATCTTCTGCAAAGTATAAGAAAACTAAAAAGTTTTCTTATACTTTGCAGAAGATTCTTTAGAAAATTCAATAAGAAAGATCAAACTTATCTACCTGATAGGGAGAAAGTTACTGTGAAAGTTGGACAATAAAAAAAACTTAATTTACAATTACTGTATACACGAAAAGTGGTAGTTCCTTCGGGCTTAAGCTCAAAACAAGAACTTTAAGCATAGCAGTGATGCTACGATGTTTGAGTGTACACTGTAGTGATGAAACGAATGCCATTTTTTGAATATTCGCGAATGCGCATGCGAGTTTTTAGTTTTTGCTCAAAATTGGCCCCAATTGTCTATGGCATGGTGGCATGTGTCTCGTTCGAATTGCCGAGTTGATATGAACTCATCCGACTGAAGTGAATTTTGAGGTTAGAGTCTGAATAGTGATTTATTAACATGAGTAAATCAAATCCTAGTAAAATATGGACTTATTTCACACTTTACGATGCTGAACGAGCTAAATGCTAGCTGTGTAACAATGAATATTCCAGGACATGAAGAACTACAACTTTTCAAATTGCTTTTTTCTAATATTCATATTCGCAAAACATTCGCAGAGATTTTGCGAATGAGAATGTGAATGTGAATATGCAAAAATATGCGAATATCCGCGAATGCGATGCGAATATTCGTTACATCACTAGTACACTCCCATAGACATTAAATTAATGAAAATATTTCGAAACAAAGTACCACAGTTACCCAAACAAAAAGTGAAATGATGATAATCTTTTTGCGACATGATGATAATCTTTTTTCTTTTATTTTGCCAAAAAAAAGTGTACAATATTTTAAGTTACTAAGTACATAATTTTAAACTTATAAATTAGGTAATAGTAAAACATTCTTAGGCATTAAGTTTTCCTGAAATAGTCACACTGAGCCCTAGCTAGATTATAAAATATTCTGTTAAAAAAGCAACAGTCCCGTTCCCTCGTCGTATCCTATAGAAAATAACAAAGGCACAAACATACTACATTATATGCACATACTCTAAGACTAAAATAATATTAGCCGCATTTCTAAATGTGTTTTTAATTGTAAACAAAAGTTGTGGTTGAGTGGTGGGTGGAACTTTTATTAGTTATTTAGTGTTTCTTTAAAAAATATAAATACAGAAATAGGTAAGTACTTTCAATAGATTTTCAGGATATGGAGGTTAGTAAAGTTTCAGTTTCGTCATATGAATTTTGACATTAGCCATTTTGTGATTTTGTTTTTACAACGTGAGAAGGGTAAAAGAATTAGGGTGTATTCCGAAATATACAGCAGTATACTGGCCAGTGGTTATGACGTCACGAATCCGACGCTATATTTTACTGGTATGCTACCATATTTTTGCCGGGAAAACGAATATGACGTATGACCGAGTGCGTGCGTGAGATGATTTAAAGAACAATAATGGCATCCGAACAAAAACAATTCCTTTTAATTGCTCAGGTGAATAAAAAATCTTCTTTAATCGCACTATTTTTAATATTTCGTCGATTTATGACGTCAGTGCAATGGCTAGTATATTTCGGAACAATTCACCAGTATAGCGTCGATTCATGACGTCATTAGCACTGGCCAGTATACTGGTATATATTACGGAATACACCCTTAGTGTCGTGTTGGCAGGTGCATTTATTTCCTATTAGATCGCTTTTTGATTCGGTATCGTAAAGGTAACCAAGGTTATCAGAAAGATCCACAAGGTATCCGATTTGACGTTTGTGTAGTGGTACGCTCTCTGTTCATGGCAATATATATATCCCTTCTTTTGGGCTATATGTGTATAAGGCGATATCTTTATAAGTTGACTTCATAAGTTGAATTTAAACTCTTTCTATGCTATCTTGTTCTGGAGGCCAAGGATATTTTTTAGCAGACTTTGAAAAAAATAATGTTCTCAGTTTGACCTGAATGTATGTATGTTTGTCCGCGATTATCTCAAAAACTGCTGATTCGATTTGGATGGGGTTTTCGGTATAAAAATGCGTATTTATCAGTATACGTAAGTATACGTGTCAGGGAAGGTTTTAGTATATAACATACTTGCAGTGTCCAAGGTGTCACCCGCGTAGATAGATTATATGGTAGCATATTGCATATTACAAAAATTTAAAAATAAAATAAATTTTAATGAAAATAGAACCGATTTCAAAAAACAGAAAATGTAAAAGCCATGCCATACGTTTAACCATGTCTTAAACGCATTTGTTTAACAGGGAGATTATGATAATGGTATCGACTTCAAATTTAACAGTCGTTAAATCTTTTTTCATTTTTTTAAGTCGGTTGTATTTTTATTATTTTTTTATATTTGTATTGGGCAGGGCAACTGCTATTCGTTTTATTTTTTACTAGCTGTGCCCCGCGGTGTTACCCTCGGTTTATTAAAGATATTTTCCCGCTGTAAAACGTAGCCTATGTGTTGATCCAGTGTATCAGGTAATTCCATACCAAATTTTATTAAAAACGCTCTAGCCGTTTACACGTGAAGAAGTAACAAACATACACACTCACAAACTTTCGCCTTTATAGGTAGAAATGAGCAATAGACCCACGGGATGTCAATATAGAAACTTATTATATCAGCCTCCTTGCCACGCATATATTTATAAAGTTAATGCTTATAACATGTTCATATGTATTTACTAAATTACCCGACAATATAAAATTAGAAACTTGGACAATGTTTATAAGTAAGATGACAAAATGGTTACAAAAAAAAATGTTACTATACTATTAAAGAATATAAGACAGATGACGAATAGCTGACTGCAATATTTGCACACCTGCCTGCAGGTAGAATACATGTACTTACTTCTATAAAATGTATTAACTTGTGAACTGTATTTTGGCAAATAAATTAAATTATTATTATAATAATACTAGCTGACCCGGCGAACTTCGTACCGCCTTAGCGTAGCTTTGATGCACTACTTTATTTTGTATAGCTGACCTTGACGTTGACATTCGTTACGTTATATTTATCAATCTTTCTGAGAGATTTTCTTTATATGTTTTTCCGTAAGAACCTTGTACAGAGTATTAGAAAACTACAAAAAAAAACAGCCAAATCGGTCAAGCCGTTTTCATGTTATGTCGTGACAACGGAAAACGGGTTTCATTTTTATATATATAGATTAGTGTGATGTTTGTATTGGGCAAGACAAATTCGGTTTGTTAGTTAAAAAAAAGTTTCAGGTTTAAAAGAATAGGTACCTACCTTTTCGAACTCAAGCCCCATCTTTCTGACCAGCTTGGTTGCCTTCGCGTGCCCGCCATGCATGAGCTTAAGGTTGGCCAAGCGGATGCGTTGCAACTCCAGGTCTGTGTTGTACGCGTAGATCTCAGCTTTCCTGTGGGTGAGAGTGCTGTATTATGAACTGTTGTTTTATTTAATTTAAGGTCTCAGAGAAGTCATTGATTTGTTTTTAAGCTATTGCATAGATTTTATCGCTGGCTTTGAGCGCGGCGACCGAATCAAGAAATTCCGTAACGAAAATAACCTGACCACAGTGCATATGAATACAATTTTCGCCTTTCCAGTATCGATCGAAACGGCACAGTGTGTTAAATTTTTGCCACGGGACCAACGTTCTACGCATCACCGCGGTCGTCAGTTCAAATCTCCCACTCGTATTTTTTATATATTTGTGTAAATCCCAGCACCTGTTCTTATTTTTATTTGTCTCCCTTTTATTTAGACTTTATAATTATAATTTAAATATTTGGACAAAAGATGGTAAACTGTGGAGCTTGTGGAAGTTTTTTGGGGCCGGGCAATGCGGTTGTTTGCTGTGCTTTCCCAATAAAATATCATAAGGCCTGCCTCGCTATCTATTAATATCAAAGAAAAAAGTTGAATCAATATCAAAGAAAAAAATACTGCATAAATAAAATAAATAAATAATTATAATTGCATAAGTTGATAAATAATGCTATGCAATAGCTTTTCCGCGGCAGTCCCCGAGTGCCTCACGTAGTTTTTATTTTGATTAATGTACATGCTGTCAATTTCTTTGCGCTAGCCGCAATCTATGTAGTTGGGTAGGTACGTTTTATGGCGCTCCCATCAGACTAAAGACAACTTTCTTTTAGTAACAGTTTAACTTTAAGTATATTTGAGGAGCTGGCGAACAAAACGGTATTATTACATAAAATTACATTTAACAGGAGCTGCATAAAACTGGATGACATACCTACAGTGAGCTTTTGTCCTAGTTTGCAATATATAAATTTATTAATATTGACACTGTTTTAAGCAGTATTGATTGAAAATTATTTGAGATTCAAATTCAATGGACCCGAAATCTCCGGACTGTAAAAAAAATCGTTTGATCTGATGCGTAATTATACCGCTTTGTTCGCCAGCTCCTCATTTGTTATTTGCTGTTTTAAACTTTCATGGTCACTAACATTAAAGTAATATAAGTTATTTACGGGATTGTTATCATGTACCTTGTTTTTAGCGTGTTTCCGATATTTCGGCACTATTGCAAGCGCCATGATCACGAAGTAACTGTTACTCCGTGACCATGGCGCTTGCAACAGTGCCGAAATATCCGGAACTCGCTGAAAACAGGGTACATGGTAACAATCCCGTAAAGAACTTATATTACTATATTGTTATTTGCTGTTGGATCCAGCTCCAAGGGTTATTGTCATCAACAGACTTTATTAGGTAAATAGTTTTGACACATAGTTTTGATGTTGAAAAGTCAGAGGTTGTATTTATATATGTTCTGTCTCTGTCTATCTGTTTCAGGAAATATTTATTATATTACGATTTCACCCATGGCAATCTTTTGATGAAACATATTTAAACCGGCATAAAGTTCACTTTACAAACTTTTTTCATTATTCCTGTGATTTCAAAGCCTGTAAAGGAATGAATGGATTCGAATTCGAATGGGTTTATCAAAAGTATTAAAATATTTAATACTTACTAAATGTGCCGGAAATAATTATAGAGCACCTTCTTCAAAAAAGTCTTTATCTATTTACTCAAAATCTAAAAAGTCATGTTAAGTTTAATTACTAAAACTAAGCACAGGAGCCTTACTTAGCTCGTCTTCTGGCACCGGCAGACATGTCTTCAGTGTAAAGTTTAAGTAGAATAGCTTCCTCGTGTATCTTTTGATTTTGAGCTGCTACCCGTGCCGTCCACTTTCTATTAGCCTGTGAAATTTAAAAGTAATTACTACCTACTGTAAAAGGGTGCTTGAAGACGACGAGACGATTTCTACCCGGGTCAAGGAACCGTGTTTACGTCCGGTAGTCGGTTAGGTATGAGGCACTATGGAGCTATATTTTTTTTTCATAATTATTTCCAACACTCACACCAATTAGCCTAGCCCCAAAGTAAGCACTATAAGGCTTGTGTTATGGGATACTAGGGTAACAGATAGAATACATATACTGTACATATATAAGTATATTTACCTAGTCAGGTCATAAATTCTGTCACATGTTTAATATAAAATAATTGAAACAAGTTTATTCATTATGTTTTACCATTTATATACCAAAATGAACTTAACAAAACATAGATTCTTATGACAATAAAGTTTATTCAAATGACCTCCGTGATTTTAAATACAGGCCTTCAATCTGCGCGGCCAGTCATCTATCGCAGCACGAACGAGGTCCATGTCAATATCAACGGCTGCCTTAATCAAGGATGTCTTGAGTGACTCCAAATTGGGATGAGGCTTTGAGCACGCCTTTTCCTCCAAGTGTTGCCATATCTTGTAATCTAACGGACTCAAATCTGGACTGGAAGAGGGCTAGTCTTCGTGCCGAATGAAGTCGATTTCACGCGCCGCCAGCCAGTCTTGTATGCTCTTCGCTCTATGTGCTGGCGCCGAATCTTGTTGGAATACCCAGTGCCTGTTATTGAGCATGGTATGAGAAACAGGTTCCACAAGGTTCGTCAGGACTGTATTTTGATACACAACTGCATTCGTTTTTACACCTTTCTCACAAAAATGTACCTTTTTACTTTTTCCCATTCTCTTCGATATGCCCGAAGCCCTAAGTCTTCATTTAACACCCTTTTCACCGTGGTTCTGCTTAACCCCATCTGAAGGGCCAACAGTTTCTGCTTACGTTTAGGATTTCTTTGAATTCGCGCCTTCACAGATTTATCACTGCTGGAGTCCTAACAGACCGAAGGCGACCACTTCTTGACCTGTCATCTACACTAGAGTCTTCATTGTATCGCTTGATGGTACGATAAACGAATCTTTTGGTTATATTCAAATTTATCAGTTTGTCAAAAATTTAAATTGGCGCGTAACCGCAACGATGCAACGCAATAACTGCAATATGGTCTTCTTTAAGCGTCCACTCTATATTTAAAAATGAGTAAAATTCAAAAAAGTATACATTTTTATTTTCATGGACAATTCGAAATTCGAATTCAATAAACTTTTTTGTGGCCAGCATTCTAAAAGAACTTTTTACTGTGTGACAATACTTATGACCTGACTGTGTATATTGAAATATAAATAAAACATTCATGACTGGAGTACAAATGCTCGTGTTCATCACACAAACATCTGCCCCCACCGGGATTCGAACCTGGGACCTCTCGAGTCGGCGACACCATGAAACCCGGCTTACAAACCACTCGGCCACGGAGGTCGTCAGCTATGGTGGTTTGTTGACGATACCGGCGCCCATTGGTGAAATTTATTTTAAAGTTAGCCAAAAGTAAAAAATAAGGAATTTGCTCGGATTAAAAAGTAGTAACTTAAATTAGTATAACATAGATGTGTCAATAGTTTCATCATTATCATCATCATCAACAGCCTACCTTAGTCCACTACTGGACATAGGCCTCTCCAAGTCCACGCCACTGATATCGATCTTGGGTTACTCGCATCCAGATCCTGCTAGCAACCTTGCGAAAATCGTCCCTCCACCGTGCCTGGGGACGTCCTACTCTACGTTTGCATAGACGTAAATTTAAACGTAAATCATTTAATACTTTTGATTCTTTTAGTTACTCTTACGTTTCAATAAAACCATAATGATAAACTTTATCCCCCTTATTAATAAACAAGGAATAATAAACAAGGAATTAAAGGAATAATTACGCCGTGTTTTGTTCATGCCACACAAATGCCATTTGTCATTCAATGAACAGAGTCAAAACATGGAGTAACTAATCTACATGGAGTATCTAAGCTTATTCTTCGTTTATTAATAAGGGAGTTAGGGTATACTTTATATTCCTAAATAAGTAAAACGATTATATTTACATTAAATTTTGTAAAGATATCTTGTCTTTGAAAAAGTTTATACTCAATCGTACTCAACCCGGTTTTTAAACATATTTAGAAAGAATAAGTGCTCCCACACATAACTGCGAATTCGCATCGCTCCACAAATATCTGCGACCTCGCAGGAATGCACCGCAAGAACTTCCGATCTGATTCGCATAACGCATTCCTACGATATTCCGTCACACTAAGTGATGGAGTCACTTAGTCCGCTCTGAGACTTCTCTTGTACGATCGTTTTTGTGGACATAGTTTTAATAAACTCGAAAGCTCTTCAAATAAAAATATGCTTATTCTAAAATAATAAAAAATATATCTTCTTCAGTTCTCAAACAATAGTATTTTCGAGTATCAGCGTTCATAATCGTAATAGATGGATGAACCCAAAATCTTCGATTTCTTCTTAATATGTCTATAAAACAATAACAGCAGTGCAACAATCTTTTTGCGATCCATGTTACTATTTCTAAAACACGTCCAATACGGCGGACGAACAAGAAACCGGGTTGAAATCCTCTCGTTAACAAGCGCACTAAAGGTTTTGTTATCAAACTACTTAATTCAGAATTGGTGGAGTCAAAAGTCTAAAGTCAAAAAATCTTTATTCAAATAACAATAACTCTTTTGAATCGTTCATATTTCATAGTAGTGTTTCGTTACTAGATTTTGAACTCATATTATGACATTTGTTTTGCAAAATATATAACATATAAGAACAAAACTTTAATCTATTTTCATTTCATTGATTTAAAAGAAAATATGTTACCATACATTTCTTTCCGCCAAATTGAGGTGGAAAGGTACGACGCCATTATAGGGGTAAACCAGTATCTGTGTAAACAAATCCTTGGCACAGCGACAACATCGGTTAAGCTTGGCAGTATCACTACAAATGCTTAAAATGACCCGTGAAATTGAATATTGGCACACGAGCGTAGATCTTGTGTAGTGAAAGTTCATCCGAGAAAGTGTGCCATTAACGGGAACATTTCAAGGGTAACGTTTCATTTTATTGAGCAATTTGAAGCAGTTTCCACAATAGGCAGTTAGGCAGGAATCTTTATAGGTGATTTATAATCAAGTAAGTACTTTATTTAAATAAAAAATTGTTTAATTGCGTGCTCTTGTTTTGTTAGTCTTCAATTAAGTTCGTGGAGAACGTCTTCTCCTGAAATAGTAGATATTGACGAAATCATGATTGTTTTTTTTTTACTTCTCATCGAAACCGCTTCTATTATTTTGGTATTTGAAAAGAAAATATTTTTTTATCCAAGTTTTAATATAATAATCGCAACTTTAAATAAAAATGTTATAATTTACAACTATCCCTTGTTTCACAATAGATAAACAAATCTAAATGATAAAACTTTACCACTTCCTCTAGCCACTTCAGCTACAATTCTCACTAGTGCTAGTCAATTGTTCTCATTTAGCCGCCACTGCCACACCTTGGTGAATATTCTGTGTAGTTTCATCACAGCAAAATCTTGCACTATGCTTTACTTTGTTTTGCTTATCTAAAATGGACGTTCTTTGCATCGACGCTCGTTTAAGACCTGTATTATTAAAAAGCTAAAAACAACAATTTACCTCGTCTTCCAGCCACTTCTGCTTCGACTCTCGTTCCTGCTTTAAGCGGTTGAGCCGTTTCTTTTCATTAGTCCTCCACTGGCGCACCATGGTTATCTTCCTTCGGAGTTCCATCTCAGCGGCTGCCTGCACTCGCTGTTTTATCCTGTTCTGCTTCTCCAAGGCTCGAGCTGCACGTTCCTTGCGCTGCTTCTCGTTAAACTCGGCTAGATAGCGCAGGTGCTGTTGTATCTTCTTCTCCTGTTCCTTTGCCCTTAAGACAAAGCAAATATTAGTAACCATGTCTCTTGGATCTTTCAGGTTCAATTACTATTAAACTAATTTTATTTCTAAGTAAATATTGAATAAGAGCTGCACATTTCCGCCATAGTTTTTAAACAGAAACTTGCAATATAAGTATTAAATAAAATATGTCAAAAATGCCTATTAGGGTGTCATTATTTGGTACAATGTAATAAATATATTCACCTGAATAACAATAGCTAATAAATGCTGTGCAATATTAATTTTGATTTAGTAATAAAGGACATGGCTAAGAAACTGCCCTTAACGTGTATAATAAAAATTCTGGCAGTATATCGCAATAAACAATATTAATTTAAAACTCCCATAAACTATAACATATTTTGCCCTTATTTTTATTTTAACAATTCACTAAAGCCTAAAATAAAATATATTATTTTTCTGATCAGGCTTGAGAGAAGCATGTATGATAATTAATGCTTTGATTTTTGCAATGAACAAAATAAAACTTCACAGAGTTCATGTCAGGCCGACGACAACAAATTATTTGTATTTATTTTACCTTCAAAAATACTTTTTGTAAAGTTTAATCAGATAAATGGGAGGAAATATTTTAAGAAAATCCGCAATTGATGGCTCTGTAAATAATTGGCAACATCTTTTATCAAATGTAGCTAGGTAATGACGTCGAAGGAGATCTCATAATTTTTAAAATTGTGACTTTATCACAAGTTCCTCAGTCCTTTTTCATAGAAATTATAAATATTCAGTCATTCTGCATTATATATTACTAAGTACAATATTTATACATTGCTAGGGCAGTCGCTCATACAATATTTTACCATGTCCTTTGATTGAAACTATGTGTTAGACATTATATATCTATCTGTAAGTCAAAATATTCTGCCTTAAGCTATGAATTCAAAGTATTACTTTGCAAAGCGAACTTTTGCGGTTTTCAGTAATATGCAGCATTCCTTAAATGTTGACTTCGGGTTGCAGGTCGTATTAACGAACGTAAGTCAAAGAACCTCGCAACTCTTCTAATTAAAAAACTGTGGGGTTCAAATTTATTAAAAAACTCTGAGGTTCAAATTAACCTCTAGTTGTGACATAACTGTAATAGTAAGACATCTGGTATCGCGGATTTTTACCATTTTATTTTTCTGATCAGGCTTAAGAGAAGGCTGTATGATAATTAATGCTTTGATATTTGCCAATGAACAAAATAAAACTTCACAGATTTCATGTCAGGCCGACAACAAAAAATTATTTGTATTTTTACTTTTAAAAATGCTTTTTGTGAAGTGTTAATCAGATAAATGTGAAGAAATATTCTAAGAAAATGCGAATTTGATGGCTCTGTAAATAATTGGCAACATCTTTTATCAAATGTAGCAAGGTAATGACGTCGTAGGCGATCTCATAATTTTCAAGATTGTGACTTTATCAAAAATTCCTGAGCCCTTTTTCATAGAAATTATAAATATTCAGCAATTCTGCATTATATATTACTAAGTACAATATTTATACATTGCTAGGGCAGTCGCTCATACAAAATTTTGCCATGTCCTTTTCTCTTCAACCACCTGCCCCTATTTTTATGGCGGTATGAAGTTCGCTGGGTCAGCTAGTAATATATATAAGGTTTTGAAAGTTTAAGGAGAGCAAAGAGTGAAGCAAGAAAAAGAGTGTAACAGATACTCATCGTAATATTTTTTAAATTTGAAGGTTAGCGTTTGTATTCTATCGATCACCAATTATATAACAGTCTTTTCCTTGGAAAATGTCAAATCATTTTGCAAACATAATGCGTTATTGTGCTAACTGTGCCAAGTCACGTAGTAAGCAGGCACCATTAGCAGAATTTGTGACATGGAAATCGCATCCAAATTTCAGTGATTGCTAAACATTATTTACATGATTTCGTATGAATTTAATTTAAGTGCGGTAAAGCGGAGTTTTTCGCTCGAATTGGTGCGCACGTCTGGTGAAGTAACCATCACCTTCATCATCATCATCAGCTTATTAATGTCCCCACTGCTGGGGCACAGGCCTTCCCTATGGATGGAATAGGGAGATTACGCCATGACCCACCACGCGTGCCCAGTGCGGATTGGTGGGTGCTAACGACTATGCAGCCGGGACCAACGCCTTCCGAAGCACGGAGGAGCACGAGATAGTAAATTTTTGGTCACCCATCCAATGACCGACCACAACGAAAGTTGCCTAATTTTAACGATCGCAGCCGAAAGCGCTAACCACTTGCGCCATCGAGCTCCTCACACAGGCACCTTCACCTTACAGAAGGGCAAGAGTGAAATAACGCAACATTTTGGTAGTGTTGTGTTTCTATCGATGAGTATCTAAGGTTTAAGGGCTCCAATGGGATTGGGCAGGTTAGGGTTTTCTGGCATTGCAAGCTTCTATAGGTTATGGAAGTCGCTTAGCTGTCAGGCGATTAATAAACTTGTTTGCCACACTTTATATATTTTTATGGCTCAATTACATTCGGTTGTTAGCCCGTATTCTGGCTGTATCCTGGCTGGAAGACAGTTTCGGATAACCAAAACGAAAACTACCCGAATACGGGCGTACTCGATTTCGTTCATTTATGCCGCCATTACATTTGGTCATTAGCCCGTATCCGAGTGCACGAAAGACATTACTTGAGTTTGGGCACCCGAAGCAATTATTTTAAATGAATTTCTTTTTTTTTTAAATATTTACACTGTAATACGGGCTGGAAGACGATGTCGGTCGGGTAACCAAAATGAAAACTACCCAAATACGGGCGTACTCGACTCCGTTCATTTATACCGCAATTACATTTGGTCATTAGCCCGTATTCGCGTGCACGAAAAACATTACTTGAGTATGAGCAGCTGAAGCAATGTTTTTTTTAATGAATTTCATTTTTTTTAAATATTTACTCTGGAATACGTGCTGGAAGACGTTGTCAGTCGAGTAACCAAACGAAAACTACCCGAATACGGGCGTACTCGACTCCGTTCATTTACACTTAGTCATTTACCCGAATTCCATTGGCATTCGTATTCGGGCTAATGACCAAATGTAATCGCGAAATTATGTATCATATAACGGATATCCTCGCAATTTTGAGTGGGAGTTAAATTTTTTAAAAGTGTTTTAAAATGAATTCAAATAATGAAGGGGCACAAAAACCACACAAAAATTATGTAACTTTCGGCGTTTTGTTTTGCTACAAATTAAGAATCATATTTCAAATGTTGAACCTTCTTTGTACGATGGTAGGGAACCGGTAATTATTTCAAAACTATACCGAACAATTTTAGCATTAGGTACCTAGATAATCTCGTTTATAAATACATGTTTGTGTGTGTTAGATTTTAATTCATTCTTCCTATATTATGTTCTTTTAGCAATCGAGTATTCTTTGTTTGTTGTTTCTAAGCATTAGCACCGAGCTTACGTCCACTCACCTAATTGGATCTTTAGATAATCTGTTGAGACACCTTCATTTTATCAGGAGCCCTAAATTAAATTTAACTGTGGTGTGCTTGCTCACCTGAGTTACCTTAATCAACGTTCATTCTTGGTCGCACAGGTGCGTATGCTACTCAAATAACTAATTGCCTATCTGTATAAACGCATTAGACGTAATAGGCTCCAAGCAAGATAAGTACACGTACCATCAGTGATAATAATATATCATTCTGTTTTACCTTTACAAAATGTTCGGATTATAACATGTTGATCTTTCCAGTATTTTTAAAGAAGAGTCGTAGTGCAGCGTAGTTAATGCATTAGGTATTCGAGATTCATTAACAATATTATTTCTTACTTCTTTTAAAATGTATGTAATAGGGTATTTGACAAGTTTTAGAAAACGATCTCACGTTATTGACTAATGTTTATGGAGTCCGTTAAAAGTGGATATTCATCATTCTGTTATGTATTTCCGTAAAAATAACCAAATCAAAAACTCAATTTTCAAGTTGCCGCGAAAACGTTTCTCTGGACAATATGGCGTCTTCCTAGTGTGTGACGTCACAAGACTGATATTAAAACGTCAAACGATACAATGTACTGTCACTATAACCGAAAGTTTACTTGCGTGTGATGTCATTTTAGGCTCCGCCAATCCCAAGCGTTTTGGGTCACGTGACAATAGATAAGAAAACTATTATCTTTTTCGTAGGTTTTTAGTGAAATTATGTTTTTATTTGTAAAAATAGTAAAAATCCCTGCCATTATTCATTCAAAACACAGATGCTAACAATTGGCACTTTATTTTTAATACTGTCAAATACCCTATTATGGCGGTTGTTATTATGTATTGTGTCTTCTTGTATTTATTTTCTTAAGATTTTAATAAAATTTGTTGTTAGCTTCTTTTGTGTATATTTACATGCACTCTCTTATAAACTATGGTAAACACGTTACATTACTTTTGTTATCGACTAATCTCTTGCAGATAGCCAAACGGCTATTAGAGCAAATAAGGGCGATCATTAAGTATAGCTAGGGGGGTATCAGAGCAGAAATGATAACTAATATAATTTTTGATCCTTTCTGATCTCTTTTACCGCGTAGCATGTTTCTTGCACCTACTAATATTGTGAATGTGGTAGGAACTTTGTCTAAGTCTGTCCGCCTATTTGATTGATGCAGTTTCAGTTCAAAATCACATAACTCATTTTAACGAAAATTTGTATAAATATGAAGAGGAAATTGGCAAAGAACAGTTCTTTGTGAAAAAATAAAACTTGCAGAAGGTGAAATAGGTGATATCTGATTTTATATGGAGCCAATAGGGATGATGACTAATTTTTTTCTTCGTTTATCAGGTAGATTATCAAAATAAAATACGTGTCTATTGGACACATATTTTTTCTTTTTTCACATAATTGCAGAGATATATTGATTTGAAAAGTCGCATGACGTCACGTTTTGGTACAATTTTAACTTAAAAGTGACGTCACGACCCCCTACTCCCAAACTTTGACGCGCTATAACTTTGTCATT